AAACGAATCAACACAATTTATTTTTATATGGAAGAAAACCGCAACACCTTCGGCAAAAAAAAATCTAAAAAATGAACGGTAATGTTTAGGCTGATGAAACTTGCACATTTTTACGCTAAAATTGAATGGGCTATAAAACTACATATATATATACTCTAAAAAATTATAGCACTTGTGAGAAAAAAGTTTGAAATTTGGATGACAATTTGTGGTTTTTCTTTAGTTTTCCAAAGTCGCCGGTTTCACTAAAAAGTTAAGTGAAAAACAATTTTTTCCCTTCTGTCAGTATGTATTTATTTTAAATTCAAATAAATAAAAATATTTTTCACTTAAATTGCATTCGTGGAACTGGCTATTAAAGAATGAACATTATTTTAATTGAAAATTCTTAAAAAGAAATGAATGTATAAACGTGAGGGCAAACAATATCATTTTGAATTGGGGTGCTATTGATATGACCAATACTGTATGTATGGGTGTGTATACAGATAGCGCATTGCACTGGCTGACAATGCTGGGATGCGTATTACTACACTTCAATAGAAGCGGGTTAAAGTACAATAACAAACAAAAGCAAAAAAAAAAATTACATAAATTAGAAATAATAACAGAAAAAAATGTAAAAAAAATACCTAAGCTTATACACATACATATATGTATACAAAAAAGCAATAGGTTGTGGGAAAAAATATATGCACACCTGAAAACACCCACACGTCACATACGAGTAAAAATAATAAATATTTGAGACAAGTTCATATGCATGTACACTGGTGGCCAAGCAAACCTTACCACCAATTTTTTTTTTAGCAGAATTTTGTAAAAAAAAAAAAGGATTTTTTTTTTTCTTAAAGTTCAAACCAAAATAACTATATAAATAACAGATTCAAACTTTGTTCAAAATTAAGATAAATTAATTAAATTTTCAAACTTTCTAATATAAGTTTTTAGGAAAATTTTGCATATACAGTTTAATAGCCCACTTAATTATAATATAATAAAGAGCAAGTTTGAAGTAACGCAAAGTTCTGGTTTGATAATTTTTGAAATACCATGTGGCAGATTTTCCCCTTATAAAAAGCGTTCACTACATGGGAAGGCTACGCAAGACCGTCGGCAAAAAATTTTTCATGAATCGCCGAGAATTTCGAGGCACTTAGAATTTTGTAAAAAAAAAAAAGAATTATTTTTTTTTTTTAATTCAAACCAAAAAAAACTATATAAATAACAGATTCAAACTTTGTTCAAAATTAAGATAAATTAATTAAATTTTCAAACTTTCTAATATAAGTTTTTAGGAAAATTTTGCATATACAGTTTAATAGCCCACTTAATTATAATATAATAAAGAGCAAGTTTGAAGTAACGCAAAGTTCTGGTTTGATAATTTTTGAAATACCATGTGGCAGATTTTCCCCTTATAAAAAGCGTTCACTACATGGGAAGGCTACGCAAGACCGTCGGCAAAAAATTTTTCATGAATCGCCGAGAATTTCGAGGCACTTAGAATTTTGTAAAAAAAAAAAAGAATTATTTTTTTTTTTTAATTCAAACCAAAAAAAACTATATAAATAACAGATTCAAACTTTGTTCACAATTAAGATAAATTAATTAAATTTTCAAACTTTCTAATATAAGTTTTTAGGAAAATTTTGCATATACTGTTTAATAGCCCACTTAATTCTAATATAATAAAGAGCAAGTTTGAAGTGATGCAAGGTTCTGGTTGATTTTTGAAATACCATGTGGCAGATTTTTCCATATAAAAAGCATTCGTTACATGGAAAAGCTACACAAGACTGTCGACAAAACAATTTTCATGAATCGTCGAGAATTTTGAGGCACTTCAAAGTTGCACTAAAATTAAATAGCCATTAAAACACTTACCCGCAATTTTCATACAAATTTTTATTAAATTTTAATGAAAATTTTATAGGTTTTTTTTTAATTTTGTACAAAGTTGGAAACTTTCATTTATAGAGCTTTTGGTGCGGTTTGAACTACATAATTTGTATATTTAAAAAAATTATAATTACATTTATTTAAAAAAAAATTCTACCACATTTAAAACATAGTGATAGTAAGGTTTGTGTGGCCACGAGTGTATGTAGCCTTATCTGGCTCGAATAGTAAATTGCAACGCCCATGGTTAACATGCCCACAACAACAGTAGTACTCTATTTTGCTTTTAAGCAATGAAGATGCCAATTGATGTTACAGAAGAAGAAGAAGTATAAATTGTACGTATGTACAATGTCTGTATGTATTTTTGAGTGTGTGTTTTTTCATATGCTACCTGCAACTTGGCTGCATATTCACTTACAATAGCCGCATTGCAGACTTCCTATCTTGACAAAAAACCACATGCACTAAGCGTAGCACATACATAAATACGTATGTATGTACATATGAGCCTGTATAAAAAAATTTACAAAAAAAAAATAAAATAAAAACATTTCTGTCGCCTCTTATATCCTAGCATAGCAAAGTAACGCAATTTGGACAGCAAAGAAGGGCAACGTGAATTTTTCGTTTACAACAGTCCAGCACAGAAATTTTCGTATTTGTACATACATATATCCCGCTGTGCATTGGATTTCCAAAAAAGTAAATGATAAATAAGTTAAATGTATTGCAGTTACGGTTTATCAACTTTGATTACCAGTTGGCAGACTCCTTTCTGAATAAATGCAGGCAGACAACTAACTGACGAAATGCATTTACCCGTTTATATGTACATATTTACTATAGATGTATACATACACACATATGTGTGTATGTATGTCCACACGTTCAAGGTAATGTGAACTACCTTGCGGTAAACATCCGCCTGTTCACTCGCCACTCTGATCGATCATGACAGGAAGAGTAAACAGCACATCCTTAACTAAGCAAACATCAGTCCGCAACGGTTTTGTGGCTTGTTGACTTATGTTAAGGTCAGCTCTACAGCACTTCTGGATTATTTTGTTTACCCTCTGTCGCGAGTTGAATACATAAAAACAACCTCGACAGGAAACAGGATAAATAAAAAAATCATCGTTTCGAAGATTACCCAATATGTATGGAATAGATATCAGGAAGCCAAATATAAGTAAACATCCAGATGACAAAATATTCGTCTGATTTTTAAATGAAGTATTCTAAGTAAAGAAAGATTTTTGAATACTACTACAATAAATCATGAAATAAAACAAGTTGTTTTGTTACCAGTCATTGAGAGTTTAGTAATATGACCATGGATGGAGAAAAATACAATTCAGATTGAGTTTTTAAAAACTTTAATCTTAAAATAGAAATGCTTTATGCCCAGTGTTGCCGAATTGACGATTTCGTCGTCATTTTGACATTTTTTTAGTTCACTGACGTTTTGACGATTTTTGCCCCGTAATGACGATTTTTTATTTTAGTTTTTTCCACTAAATTACATATATATGTATGTATGTAAAAAATTTGTTCCAGGAAAACGTAATCCAAAATACAACCATGTATTTATCTAGTTTTGTTCTTTTAGTTATATTAAATTTGTTCTAGAATTGTAACCAAATCGTTAATTTGCACTGCTGACACTGATTTTAAAGAGATAGAAAAGTAGGAGAGAATTTGTTCAGTCAAAATTATCTATCAGTTAATAAATGCTAATATTACACCAAGGATCTCCACATCCGTTTTGGTAGTTTTGGTAAATTGCTGAATGACACGCGGTAATTTTATCAACTGTGAACGTCCTTTTCAGTTTTCTTTTGTTAGTCTGGTAAAATGTGTTTATCAACAGCGGATTCATAACATTTTTTTTTGACGCTAAGTCCACATTTCTTGGACGAGATATTTGAAGACTTAGTGCATTTTGAAATAACTCACTCGGAACCTGGGCATGTTTGCCCATTTCTAGGATTGCTATGTCATCGGCATACGCTATGACTTGCGACCCCGTGCCTTTTAGGCTTAGAAGTAGGGCGATATGGCTACATTCCAGAGCAAAGGCGAGAGAACGCAGCGCTTGGGAGTGCCTCTGGTCACATAGAGCCATCCCCCAGTTATTTTGGAATAGTTCTCTTTTCGATAAGGAGCCCAACAAAATCTACCGGAACCCGTTGCACCAGCAAAATAGGAGGGAGTTGACTACAGACCTCGGATAGGCATTGTTGAAAGAAAAACTCCGAGCGTATATTTTTTTATGACCACCACACAGAGGCCAAGAAGGAAATTGCGTGGCTGGCAAGATACATAAATACATATAGTATAAGATGAACTTCTTGACCGATATCAATACTTTTACTTATGTGAGCATATCTGCTCTCTTTTTGCGAGCCTTGGTTTCCAAAATTATCGGAAATCTAGCCGAAATGCGATAGAAAAGAAACAATTGTTGGTCAAACTTTAAAAGGGACAAGTGAAGTGTAGGAGGAAAAACATTCGACGGACCAGGAACTAGCTGGGATGATTATTGCGGAAGCTGTCGCGATGACTAAGGCAATGGCGGCAACGCGGCGAGTGGCTGAGCGCTGAGCGACTTAAAATTAAAACATATCGTCGTTTAAAGTACAAAACCGCGTATCAACAAAATGCAAAACCGCGTATCAAGATAATGCAAAGCCGCGTATGTGACAACTATAAATTATTTTCTAGAGAGTAAAAACACTCATATTTCCAAATGGTTATTTTTTTATAAAGTAATCGCATTTCTGGCTAGTATATTTCAGGACGAATAGATATGGATTGAACCAAGCGCTTGTATGAGAAAATACAATTTTTGGCAGCCAATGTCAGTTACGCGGTTTTGCAGAATGGCGATGCGCGGTTTTGTACTTTAAACGACGATATGAAATTGAAATGGCCTCCCAGGAATAAAAGCCCCTCATTGCGTGACCTCGGCCTAAGAATACGAGATCCTTCAAAACCATGGCAAATATTTCAACAAACAAATTTTTCCCTATATTAAAAGTAAAATTCCCACTAAAAGTTCCAAAAATATAAGAAAAATAATCTAGGGCACTCACCTCTTGACACTGCGGCACCGCTTCATATTTTCTGCCTCCTTTACACTGTCCCAGGAATCCCCAACTCCAAGCGATGACATTTCATCTAAACGTTCCTCATCTTCCAAACCCGAATCCTCCAAACTAATGTGACAGCTGGTCATGGTGACCTCCTTGCCATTATCGCCAACCTCAATCCAATCGGAAGTGCGTATGCGTGCCGAGCGTTCAGTGCCGTACGGTGACGAGTCCGATGAGCAGCCCGAAGGACAACGCTTCCTTGGCGTACCGACGCCATTAAATTTATTGTTTCTGTTATTCTTCTGCAAATCATCTTCATCGCCATCTTCTGTATCTTCTACATTATCTGCATCGACATCTTCAGTATCGGGATCCTGATCCTCAATTGAATTGCAACGTTTACGCGAATGGGTTTTATAGGTTTTGGCGGTGCTACTGTTTGATGGCAACGGGTTTTTTGCTGCTTCCACTGCTGTTGTAGCAATGATGCTTGTTGTGGTTATCTTAGTGATCGGCTCCGATACTGGGCTAGTCAAAGGCGTACGCTCTTTCTTATTAACTTTAGGTGTTTCTGCACGGGTCAGATTTTCCATGGAGCAGCTTCTGCCGCGCATTGCTGCCAATTCAGAAATGAGGATCTCATGGAAAGCTGCCTTTTTCTCGGGTGATTTTAGTATATTTTCGATTTTTCCGCCGCTGCTGTGGGCGCTATCACTGGTATTGATATTTATACGCGTACAATTGTTAGTTGTCTCCCCGGTTGTGACGACAGTTACCGAAGCACCAACCCCCGCGACATTGCGTTGTGCAGCTAATGCCTGCGTTAAGAGCATCGGATGTTGCATAGCTGGCTCATGTTTCGTTATTATTGGAGACTCGTTGCCGTGGCGTTGCTGATTTACTATAATTTCCGAAAACAAACGCTCGGCCGCATTCTTCAGATTATTTTTCAGCTCAGCTGTTTTGCCGCCAAGAAAGGTGTTGGCCACACCTCCCGTATTGATCGTAGTGATATTGGCACGTGATGTAAAATTGTCGAGTGTAGTTTTTGAACGGCGGAATATACTAACACTGGATGAATGCGATTGGGCACCATTGGTCGAGGCAGTGTCATCCAGATCCATTGTGGCAACGGGGACTTTCACAATTTTGCGCGGCCGCGGCAATGGCTGCACCGATGTCGGTAACTGATCCAGCTGTATCTTGCCAACACGCTCAAAGTCGACGCGACCCAAACTAAGACGTGTATCCTTAATGCTGTTCGTCTGCGATTGCGATTTCGGTGAGCCGCTACCCATCGAGTGGTGACGGCTGAGGTTGACTGCGCTAGCCGCCGTTTGGACGATAACGATATTACTGTTGGCATTAGACACTTCAGTTGGACTCACAGAGCTTGCTGGCGCTGGTGGTGGACTTTTACCGAGCGCGACGCTGTTAACAGGCACTTTGGTGACGCTACATTCTTTATCCAGCGCTCCAGTGATGGCATCATTTTGGACAGCTGTAGCTTTTGGTTTCATTGTCGGTATATCTGGTGCCTTGCGTAGCTTTAACGGCGGCTTTGGACCGATATTGGTGCCTGATCTGGTGGTAGTGCTACCAGTACTAGCGCCTAGAGGGGCACCAGCTGTGGGTGGTGGTGCTTCCGGACGTTTTGGTGCACTCATTGAGGGCGACTTGTAAATAATTGTACGACCGCCAGCACCGCCACTAACTGAGCTCAGCGATGGCTTCTTCTGTATGATCGGATGTTGTGAATTGTGCTGCATTTCAGCTGAGGCGGTCACATTGCCAATACTCACGCGACTACTCAAAACCGACGAACTCGAAGCAAAACTGGTTGCTGCTGTTCCTGTTGTGGCTGCAACACGATTCTGTTGTGCCACAGCATTCATAACTGAATCTCCATTGCGTTGTGTTTTCAATAAACCCGCTGCGTGTGCGCTTGCATGCGATGGCCTCGGCGGAACGGGCGGTCCAGCTTTTTTCAACGGCATTATAGCCGGCACCGTTGCAGATATTATTGTTTTTGTTGGTGTAGTTGGTATTGTAGCTGTAGTTGCTGTTGGCGTTGCCATAGCTGGTTTTGCTTAGTTGTCCGCGCGACTCGTCGTCGTCGCCTGCTCTGCTGCGCCTTAGTCTAGTCCGACTAACCGCTAGTAGCAATGGTTTATTGCTCGTTAATTTATATGTCACTATTTGTGTGTATGTGTGTGTGAGTGTGTGTGTGTGTATGTGTGAATTGATGTTTATGTTAACTGCAGTTGTTCTGTGGTTCTGACTCTGGTCGTCGTCAGTCGATACAATAGCCAACCGAAAACCCGTATTTGTAGGTCACTTTTTGCTTGCGGTACGTTGTCGTAGCTGCACTTTTAGTGGTACTAAACTCGTTTTCCACCGCACTGTCAGCTCACCACCTCTCAGCGTCGTCGTCTTTTGACCAGTTGATTTAAAAACTTACTATGGCTGCATTTGCGTCGCACCTTTATACTATTCGACTATTCGCAATATTAGCGAACGTCAGCATTAGCACCTTTGCCGCTGTCAAGCTAGTTTATAGATTATTGTCTACTCCGCAGGCGTTCCTGACTTTTGCTTTAGATCCTTTTTAGTTTAACTTCTTCCACACACACAGCGCGCGCGCGCACTCGCGAATATTCGTATGAAAATATCGGAGGCTGAGTCTGTGTCTAAATTTGAATGTAGGTTAGTTGGGTACTTTGCCGGGCACTTTGCGCGTTTCATTAGCTCTACATACGCTATCTGTGCGCATAGAGAGTGACAACTAACTGGCCGTGGTCCAGTCGATTTGCGCTGCTTTGCTGTACTCGTTTTCATCTACACAATGTACTAGCGTTAAAAAAGAAAAGTTTGCTACATTTTACACACTCGCTTAGCGATTCAAATATGAACGTATGTATGTATGTAGTTATTTAGGATGCCACTCATAGGCGAATGCAACGGCTACCGATTTACTACGACCGCGTTCACAAACAACCGTAGGAGGAGGTGTAGGAGGTAAGAGTGTTTTGGGAGGTGTACGTTTTACTTTTCACGCTCGCGTATTTCGCCGCTTCACACGTTGCGCGCTGCACTCGTTAAATCACGCTTCACACTCGCGGCACACAGACTCGACCATGCTTGCTTAGTGAGGTAGGCATATGAATTAGCGCACGCGCAGGCGTAGCAATAAGCAGCACACTTCCCGTGTGGTATTCACTCGAAAATGTGGCATATACCGAAAAATAGAAACAGAGCACGAATGTTGCGTTGCTGTTGATGCAGGCAATGAAAAAGCACTTCAGTTTTATGTTGTCGGCACTGCATCTGGTTGGCTAGTGTTAATGGTATTGCTGTTTTTTTGTTGTTGTTGTTTTATTGCGTTTAATGGGTTTTGTTGTTATTATTTGTTTTAATGCATTTCATTTTGTCTATTTTTGGGGGAAAAAAACGTTCACATTTGTATGTTTATTTAATGCCGTTTGGGTGTTAGTGAAAGGTTTTCGATTTTATTTCTTTGTGTTATATATGTAGTTATTTTTATGATTTGCTTGCACGACAGCAGGGAGCATTATTTTTATTTTTTTTTTTTAAGTAAGTTTTCACCTTTCCTTTTCACCACATCATTGTGAATATTGCTGCTGTCGTTTTTAAAACAATCTTTTTTTGGTGGGATTCTACTTCCGTCGCACTTTTTTGGAGTATTCGTTCAATAGCACTAGATAGAAAACTGGATTATTGTTAAAATTAGGATGCTATGCAAACATACAAATGTACATAGATACATACGGGATATCCGTTATTATTCTACATGAGAATTGCATTTTAACTGGATAGTTTTTGCAGATCAATGTCTCCTATTTGATAGGAGGGTCAATCCATGTCAAATCGACCAATGATTGGAATCGATCATTTTTGATTTGGATTAATTTTGATCAGAACTTTTCTTTTATCATTTATTTTCCAAAGTTGCAAAGTTCTAAATTTCACAATTCCCGGGATTTCACAAGTATGTATATTTTTTGAATATCTCAAAACTATTTTAGTTACAAATATGGTTTCGTTTACAGCCGATATTTATAGCTATAAATAAAAACACGTACGAAAAAAATTCGAAAAAAAATATTTTTAATACTTTTTTGTTTATTTAAAAAAAATCGTGAAAGCAAAAACTTAAAGAAAATGTATAGCTAAATTTTTTCATACATTACCTCCAACTATTTTTTTACTTATAAATTTTTGAACTATGAAAAAAAAATTCAAGCTCTTAATGAAGTTATATTAATCAATTTTTATTCAATTTGAATTTTTTTTAATTTGTAGTTTGCAATATTATTTTTTTTTTTCAAAGTTCAAAAAGTTAGACCTTAAAAACACTTTGAAAATTTCAGTATATTTTAAGATCAGTGAGAGACATTATTAAAAAAAAAAAAAACAATATAAGGCAAACATTAAATAAATGTTTGATTTCACAATTTTTTTAATATAAAAATTCTGTAAAATTTAAAATTCTTCGATTTTTTTTTTATTTTTTTTTTTTATATATGTAGCCCCAAAGATCACCATTAAAAGGAGACCAGTGGCTGAACTTTGTAACTGTAAAAAAAGCAGTGAACAACGAGTGCGGAACTCACAATGAAAAACTACCCGATTAAAATGCTGTGAGTTTTTCGGAAGAGAAGTGTACACAATGTTTGCAATTAGAACTCATTCTCACACAGTCCAGAACCATTTTTAACCGATTTCACAAAAAGGAGAAGGTTATCATATCGTCGGAATATTTTGTTTTTGTTTGTTTTGGTCACCTATTTACATCGTGGTAATTGTGGGTCTGAAGCTATCGACTACGCAACACGCTATTAATAAAGTAAAGGACACAGCTCGGCACAATCTTATCGATGATATCGACTGGGCCGAAGAGCATATCAATGGATCTTTTAAGATATCCCTACTCGATGAAATTATGTGAGTTAAGAAAGAAATTTGGTCAGTGTGGCTGAGTGGTTAGAGGTGCGCACTACCAATCCGTAGTACCTGGGTTCAATCCCCAATCCGAGCAAAATCAAAATTAGAAAAATATTATCGAGTTGCGCTGATAACAGCTTTTATTAAAACTCCAGGCTGTAAAGGGTTTAAGAATAAACTTTGATTATTGCTTTCCGTATACAGATATTTGCTGCTTTTGATTAATGATTTATCTAATGCAGTGGAGAAATAACGGAAATTAACTTTTATAAAAACAAACAAATATCTACTGCTTGTCATGACACTCGTATGTACATACATACATGTCTATAGTATAACTAAATAGATTACTACATACACACATACATATCTACATATGTACTTGTTTACAAATACGTAACGTATTTACTTTTAGTCACAGATATTTTAAATAGTGAATTGCAGCTGTTAAAAAAATAATAATAAAACTCGTAGTCACTATGCTAATGTCAAATATTGCATTCGGAAGATAATTTACATGCCAGCCTTGGAATATATGTAAGTATATGTACTAGAGGGCGGCACGAAGGCATTCAAACTTCTAGCCAAACAGGGTACAGTAGTTAAGTAAGTAATATATAGAATACACATACATATGTAGAAAAATATTTTTGGATGTTCATACAAAAAATTGTCATCTATTTCAATTCAATTTATTTCCACTTTGTTTGAATATTGTAATGTCGACACATATATCAGAACAGGTATTCACTCAAATTCCAAAAAAATTTAAGCCAAAATCATTCATTCGTTTCGTATGAATAATTCACAAGCTGTTTTGAATGAATTCATGCAGCCCTCTAATACGTACCTTTATATAAACTGCTTGTGCATACGTAGAGAAATATATGTACATGTGCATATGTTTGTAAGTATGTACGTATGTATATGGAATTACTCAGCATTTAATTAGCAATGCAAAGTTGAATTTTTGCACAGCCTGAATATGTTTCGAATGACAAAGAAAAACATCTTTAAACACTTAAGAATTTACATTTTAGTGAGTCATGGCGACTCTTGTTTTTACGTAAAACTTTAGAAGAAATTTTATAAAAACTTACAATGTTGAATTTCCAAACTGGGCTAGCTTATACAAAGTCATCTTTTTACTAACCCACTGGTAGCTAATTAATAGTTTTAAGAAAAATATTTAGGCTTCAATGTAGATTGGTATGGTTTCAATTACCCCCGAAATTTTTAAAAGTTTTGACAGCAATTTTTTTCGTATTAATTAATTTTTTGCTATTTTAACTATTGATGAATTAAATCAAGACTATATTTTTTATAACTATTCCCGGAATTTAGAGGTCTATATCAACCGTTAGATTAATTTCTCCGAGCACTCACCCAATAGCATAGCATATTTCTAGTTTGCTTAATGTATGAATATCAGAATGCCTCGAATTTCTTAAGGCTAGTTTACACTATTTCAAGTTTAATGGAACTAGTCGTCAAATAGGCGAAAACACATTATCAAATAGGATTAAAAGGTAGTAAGTATATCGATTGATTTCGATCAGGATAGGTACTTAGTTTTATAAATGCGCTGCTGAATTGGCTTTCTATCTGTGTTTGGCCCATAATATCATCGATAAAGGTATAGATAACGCCTGGTGGTAAGGAACCCACTGTGCTTTTGAAAAAATCAGAAACTGCGATAGTTCAGTAACTACTGGTTTGCCATGTTATTGGATTTGTTTTTTTTTTCAAATTTAGAAAATGGGCGTGGCAGCTATGGCTAAATTTGAGTAGTTCAGTGATCGCTTAACCGATGTCTCACTAAGCAATATTGTGAAAATTTTTAAAATCTGTCTGAAACCACGCCCATTTCCCATATAACGGGATATTTGAAAAATCCAAAATATGCGGTATTGAAAATCTTCCTTTATAAGGGCAATTCCCAGATGAGCAATAACGTGTGCGCCGGGTATACGAAGTTCAGTTTCGAGCGAACTTATAACGTTACGTTACCGTACCGTTATTACGTTACTTATAAATACCGAGATCACTAATTCTTTAACCGACTTCAAAAAAGCAGCTTATCAATTCGTCGGATTTTTTTTTTGTATGTAGGTTACAGCATAACATTGGACCACGCTAATGAGAAGTAAAGTCAGTTTTTTTTTTTTTGCTTAAAAATTACTTGTTCTTGTCACTCGAAAAAAACATAATGGTTTTTTTTTTAAACTTTGGGAAGTTTTCAAATATAATGTTCATATTTGGGGCAATGGGCGTTGGCAACAACTACAAGATTTCTGCAAAGCTTCAAGAGTTTACCACGGAAACAATGGCAGCACGTAGAATATCTGTCGCAGAAATTTTGTAAATTTTTACGCTTTTTTTAATTTAATAATTTTAGATACTTCAAAATGTTAAATGAAATGGTGATAATATTATTTTTGCCAAAACGAAGGAGTCTAGTGTAATAAAACTAGTATGTTCACCAAATAAAAAAAATTACATTGAGTAAAAGATTAGTATGATTTGAAAAACGCAAATTCCATTTTCAAATTTATAATTTTTATTGGCAAACTCGAAATTCGTTCTAAAATTGTTATATTTATACATAAAAAAAGTAATATAAGTATATTTATGTGCATAGGGAATACTGTGTAAAAATCTTAAACGCCAATATTTAATTACTTGTTAAATAATATGACTTTTAAGTTAAAGCGCGTCAGTAAACGTGTTAGAATACTGCGTATGGTGCTACGGGGCGTATACGTTACATACGCAACTAATGTTTAGTTAAGAGCATGAATGGTTATTTTACGTTTTTTGGTCTATCTTTCCAAAGTTTTCATTTAAATACAATTTCGCTATGGAATCTCGTTCTTTCTTCAAAACTGAATACAATGCATTTTCTAAGATAGGCGTAACACCACGTTTTTGTCGAGGAATGTAACAACTCGTGAGATTTGCTAATGGTAAATGTTATCCGATTTTTATAAAATTCAGAAAAGACTAATTCTAATAGAACTTCAAAATCGAGGAATAATATCGTTCACCAACTTTAAAAAAAGGCGCAAATATAAAAAAAATATATTTTGATCAAATTTGGTGTAACTCCTACTCGTTTACTCCAAAGTTTGGAAGATAATGAAGAGTTTCTCTGTATGACGCCCACCTCCTACAAAACTTTTTTGGCACCAAGTACTAAATTTTATAATGTTAGGGGGAAATTGGCGAACATATTTTTTGTATTTCTAAAGCATTTCCTATTTCTTCCTTTTAAAAATGAGAAAAAAAAACGAAAACACTTACAATCGGAATCGTAACAGTTATAAGTTATACAGCGAAACATTGATTTTAATTTTTATAATTCAATTTTTATTTTGCGTTCAACAAATAATACTTACACCATGAGTTTTGTTTATCTCGTTTAAAAAATAATTGTTATTTGATGAGTTTTATTTTTCATTCAAAAATTCAAAGTTATTTGTTAAGTTTTATTTTTCAGTTACAAAATAACTCTTAAAGGCTGAATATTAATTTATTTGCGCTGAGTTTTACTTTGTGAATGAAAAATAAAACTCACCAGATGATTTTTATTACTTGAACGAAAAACAAAACTCATCAGATAACAATTATTTTGTGAACGAAAAATAAAACTCAACAAATAACAATTATTTTGTGAGCGTAAAATAAAAATTATTAAATAAAAGGTAATAGCTTATCCGAGTAGATCGTTGAGCAATGATCAATTTTTTATAACGATGCGTCCTGACGTTTCCTTAACAATGATTTTTTAGATACAATTTTGAATCAATAATAGGGACCGAAAATCCCTGCTTACAATAGCTGCGTGCTAAATTATGTGCATTTGCACTGAAACCTTCATTTCAGGCTGGCTTATTATACATAATAAACACATGGAGCGATAACCGTCAAAAAACGTGAGCGATTTTTTTTCAACATTTTCTTAAGAAAATTATGAAAACAATTTCACTTACTTTTTTTCGTGGTTAGGGCTCGATATATCTGCACTAGTAAAATAATTAATTAAAATTACTTGCGACAAAACTAATTTTTTTCTTACAACATAATTTTTAATGTTGTTTCTACTTTAAGCTCGTTCCAGAACTTTTTAAATCAAACTTCGATCAATTTTCCACATGTTTAAAATTCCACAGGTCATTTGCCCCTTTCATTGGGAATCTATTTAACCCATTAATGTTAAGATACGACAAGATTACTGCATTTTAGGTCGCACTTGAAACACTAAGTCAAAGGATAGTTTCAAAAACCCGATCTGTTATCCTTTTTTCTCATTGTAAGTATGTATGTATTCTTATTTTAATTTTTCAGAAAATGTAATGCAAAAATTTCAGAAATTAAAGCTGGCAACGAAGAAGGTCAATCTTAGAACTAAAAAACTAATTTCAAAAATCCATGTTTCTCAACGGCTCAAGTGGTTAAAGATACGCACTCACACTCGTTAGATCCAAAGTTGGATCCCTGATCCGAGCAATACCAAACATGAATTTTTTTCTAAAAACGGTCGCCCGTTGGCAGGCAATTCACACCTCCGTGTGTATTTCTGCCATGAAAAAATCTTCTCATTAACACCATTTACCATTCGGAGGAGAAGCTCGGCCAAGCATTAGCAAATATGTAAGCGCGAATTTCATTTTTATTAAAATCTTTGTCAAATTACTGCATATTTGAAGAAGTGGTCAATAATACACAATAAATGCAATTAACAAACCTCAATGGAGTAATAAGTTATTGTTATTGCAAATACGAATTCCATAAATTTACTGAATTTTCAATTACTAATTTTGACTACTTCATATTTTAGGTATATAAATCTTACATATATGTATATTTATTTTTACTTATATATTGGAGGTATTTTGTATTAATTCGCACTCAATGCTCGGCCACAGAGAATATTTGTCTTGAATTGAAACTTTCAAGCTAAATTTCCTTTACGATTGCCTTTCAATGGAATTAATTTAATTTAATTTAATTCTCGGCAAATTGACTAGACTGCTGTAGCAAATATTCGCACATACACACACACTCAAGCACACAAAGCGGAAAACACACCCACAAATTTATTATTTATTTATTCTTTTATTTTTTTATTTTTTTGTCATAGACAGTCCGAGACAACAGCTGGAGACCGGCGATTCTGTGTCTGCATTGCCTGGAATTGTGATGCCCAAATGTCAACATGCAGCGACTGACTTGCTGGCTGAGCAGCATCAGCAGCGTCTGCAGTCCCGCACACACACACACACTTAAGTTTGCTAATTTATTTATGCACTTGTGCATTGATTCTAGTTAAATGCTTTGTAGATATGTACGTATGTATGTACATATGTACATATATATGAATGCTAGCATTTTTATTTCATTTTATTCAATCGCATTATTATATTTAGTCATTATTTCGTTTGACTTTTGCTTTTATAGTTTGTTGTTGTTTCACTTTATCACGCAACATCTCATAAATATAAATAAACAATTATTTCACTTTTTCTACATCTCAGCTTCAGTCTCCCCTTACTTTCATCACGTATTTTGTATCGTATCCACTTGAAAATACTTGAAACACAATCCGTTGTGATTCGTTTGCGATTCGTTGTTAACTTTGCTTTTGTGGCGAACACAGGTTTTCGATGTTATCGCATCGATAGCATGTTGTACCGCTTAGCACGAGAGCCCGAAACAAACTGAGGCTCTAAGCTCACCTTTACAGTGGCCATGCTGTGCTTGGACACTTAGTCGCAAGCGCCAATATGGCCCCAATGCTGCTCAGTGGCAGTTCGCCGCTCAGCTACGCTGGCATGTGGCATGAGAGGTTAGTTGCTCTGTTGACTGCGGTTTTAGCTGTTTGGATGCCAACCGGGCGAGAATTTCCCCATTTCGGTGGAATTTCAACTTCTAGAAGGAATCGAGGAATGGCTTTAAATTTTGGGGGAACTCAATTAATAAAAGATTTTTATTGCAACATTCCTATCTAAAGTTATATCTTCTAGTAACAATCTCTCATTACGGTGCTATCGATTTAAAACATAACGTAAGTAAGTGTTTATCAATATATAGAATCTTGTCAAATTTTTGTTTTGAAAAAAGAAACTGCAATCTGAAATAGGCTTGGCGTTGTTACTTTGGAAGCAATTTTACTAAAAACAAAAATAAAAACAAAACATTTAAAAATAAAACATCTCTTGACTTGTAGACAATGACAAAAATCTCATCAAGAAATATATGGGAGGTTCCATGGGAAACTGAACCTCAGCGCTATTTTCTTTATAAAACTAACAAACGTCTGGATAAGTCATTTGTAAAAATCTTGAATCAACCAAAAAATAGCAAATTAAAGCTTTAAACGCATTTCTATTACCCTTTTTTACGTTTCGAAATCAAGTTCTAAGCAAATTTGTTGAAAGTACTGTCAACAAATTTGCGATTCATAGTTCAAGTGCTTGATAAGAAAAATATATGGTAGATTAAGTTAAGTGACATTTTGACCAGTTTTGGTTTCTTCTTTTTTTTTTTATTTAATGTTTATAGTTTTTTTTATAAAAGTCTAGCACATGACATAACCAGAACCACATAAATACCCATTTCAAACTTCGTACAAAAATTACAACCAAAAATTTTAAACTTTTCGTTCAGAATTTTTAGAAAAATTTTGTGTGTGCAGTTTTATAGTCCATTAAATTTAAGTAAGTAAAAGTGAAAATTTCAAGACGCAAAGAAATCGCGTTGATTTTTAAGAATTTTTTTGGCTGACGGTCCTAGGCATTTTCTTCTATATGTTCTAAGATAAAACGATAAGATGATGAATATTTATACTAAAAGCTCCTTTTCATATAAAAATTCGCACGTGTCCCAACCGTGATAAACGTTGTCCCACCCGCGACAGACGTATTTCGGATTATTTTTATAATAAAACCATAATTTTTGTTGTAGTTTTTTCTTTGTGTATGTTTGCGGTTTAATTATAAGACATCAAGTTCACACAGAAAAGTAAAATAAATTCGCAGAGTTTCCCTAAAATATATCTGCTCCAAAAAGCAGGTTGTTCTTTTTGGTCCCGCCCGTGACAGAAGAAATAACTCAGATTTCCATATAAAAGTAAGCTAGAATTTTTTTCGTATTTTGTAATAACTCATATTAGATATAGTCAATTAGGTGTAGCTTTATCAAAATATAGAATTGTTGAGTACCACCTGTGACGGTGGAATCGCCCGTATGATTCTAACGAATAATCTATCTATGCTTGATGTACATATATGATGCACATGTTTTACGAAATATACTTAGAAATATTAGTTATATGTATTATTATAAAATCAGGGTTTGAAAATGCTGTAATTTTTTCATTTGATTTACTTTTGCTGTGCTTTGACTTCGGCATGTATGATATCGAAAGCAAAGCAACAGCAATTCGGAAAAAAGCAAATGCTTTGGCTGTCGTTTTGCTGTAAAATTTCGAAAGCAACCATACAGTTAAAAAACAATATGTGAAAGCACAACGACAGTGCAGCGGCAGCAAAGCAACAGCAATTCGACTATCACTTGACCGTGAAACATCAAATTGGCAGAAATATGTATGCATGTACAAATGCACTACCCTTTAGTTGTACTGGTGACAAGAGGCATTGTTAGGCATGCGATTGGTAATCGCCAATTTCACACGAGATAATCGCTAGCGAAAGTTCAAGGCAAAGGAATTGATATTGCAAATTTTGTGTGTACTCACTCCTGGCTAGTCAGCGATAATACACCATGCTGCAAAGCTTCATGTGCACAGGACATTCAAGCAAATCACAGCACAAGAAAAGAGCTATCACAGCAAATCAAAAGCAGTAAATTCAATTTACTAAATTGTTTTCAATAAACTGCCGACAAAAAAGCAAAATAAAATTTTCAAAGCCACAGCGAAAGCAAATCAGTTTGAATGAAAATCAAAAATTTCAAAGCGAAGCAAAAGCAAAAATAGTAGTGTTGTTGCTGCTGTGCTGACAGTTTTTCAAACCCTGTATAAAATACTGTCCTTATTATGTAATTATAGTTAATGATATTTCTTGTTTAATTTTTAATAAAAGTGGGAATGAAGTGCCTTAAATAGTAAAAGTTATTTTGGGGGAATACCATTGTAAATAGGGGAATTTTTTCAGGAATTTGGAGGAATTAGCCTTAAATGAGTTGACATCCCTGGTTTGGGGTATTGCTATTTGTAGTTGCTGCTTGTGTTGTATGTATGTATGTATAGTTAACCGTATGCTCCCTCTCGCGCTCTCCACGACTTCGCTATCAATAAGTTTATTTTTATCGCAACTCCGCCGCGGTCATGGAGCACAAAAGCCAAAGCAAACAGTTATCATTTTCGTATTTAATTATTTCTGTGTATGTTTGCGCACTGTATATATATATATATATATATATATGTATATATATGCGGTTGTGTTGAAGTCTACATATACATATGTACATATGTATGTATGTATTGGTGCATCTGCATTTTTGGAGTGCACAACTTATAAGAGTAAGTTCTTTTGGTATGCCTTAGTGCCTGCGTAAATGAGCGGTGTGTTGCCACCTCGGTGATTTAAATACAAAATCTTACTGATTTTTCACTTTCATATATCAACCTTTTAATGCTCAGTAGGAGCAATTGGTGTTGCTTTTTAACCGACTTCCAAAAAGGAGGAAGTTATCAGTTCGTCGGAAAATTTTTTTTTTTGTAATGTATATTACCGCTAAACTTTGGACCACGCCAACCGATAATTCTTTTTGCATCTGGTTAAGATCCGATCAGTGGATCATGAGATATATATATATGTATATTAGACTGCATCACCAAAAAAAGTTGCTGTTTTTCCGCCGGGATTACTAAATTTGTTATATTTTAAGACGTTCACCAAAATATTTCGTAAAAATATTAAGAGTTAAGTGAGCTGGACCGATTTGAAAATACATCCAAAAATGAAGTTTTTTATGAATAAAAATAGTTTCTTAAAGAACTTTTTGAAAAAATTCCCCTCAGATGTCAAGTTAGAATAAGCTTAAAAAATCTGCATAAAAATATTTAAAAATCTTTTCAACGGAATCGTAAGAATGAGATTTTTGATGTATTTTTTTTACTTTTTTCAAAGGTTGATTTACGAAAAATTTGAATAACTGGGCAAAAAATGTTCTGATTTAGACTTATGGGATCTCAGTAGAAAGTTATTTTAACGCCGTTTTTATTTCTGGCCAAAAGAAACGTCATTCGTATCCCATCTTTTTTTTTCGAATACCAAAACATCTTAATTCAACTTTGAATGAGGTTCGTTTCTCCTACCTTTCTCTTCCATCCTTTGAATAAGTTTATTAGCAAATAAATGAAAAGGGTGAGAAAATACCTTTCCAACGACACCTCTTAAGTCTAAATTGGAGGAGTTTAGGTTCAGTTATTCAAGTTTTTCTTATACCAATCTTTGAAAAATGTTAAAAACAGCATCATCATTACGATTCCGTTAAGAATTTTTAAATTTTTTTTTTCATATTTTTATGCAAATATTTTAAGCTTAAGCCGTTTTGTCATTTGAGGGGATTTTTTAAAAAAAAATCTTTAAGAAACTATTTTTATTCATAAAAAAACCATTTTTGGAGGTATTTTCAAATCGGTCCAGCTCACTTAAATCTTAATATTTTTCCGAAATATTTTGGTGGACGTCTTAAAATATAGTAGATTTAATAATTCCAATGGAAAAATAGTACCGATTTTTTTTTGTATGGGGAGTGATGCAGTCTAATGCATATATATTTTTTATATGAGAGTTGAAGTCGGTTTTGTTTTGCTAAAAATTACTTGTTATGTATATGTACCTTTCAAAAAAATTTTCAACTTATCAAAAAGTAAGTAATAAGTAAGCAAATAGAGAACTTTTCCAGTAACTTCTTTAAAAGGATAAGCGTTTTTTAATAGCTATTACATTATATGTTTGTACATAAAAAGGGTATTTTGAATAATTTCTTTGCAGAAATCTGGCATCACTTTTGAGAGTATTACATTTGTAACAATATTTGCAGCGGTCTTGTATTGTAATAAAACCGGTTGATTGTTTGTATGCCGCTCACGGAGCCAATTGTAATATTGGCGATGTGCTGGCTTTCTTGTAAATTTTGGCCCCCAGCACTGGAGAGCGCTGGCTGTTAGTACGTGCCAGTACACGGTGTATGTAAACAAATTTTACAGGGTAACAATTCAAGACGAAAACTTTATACATTTGAGAGCAATTTAGTGTCATCATTGTCAAACCATGGCTCTAAATCAGGTGGGGTCTATTTATACATATACAAACATACATATGTACATACTTATGTACGTACTTACATATGTAGCGCCGTGACTTAACTTGTTAATTATTAAACTATATTACCAGGCATAAGTGAGTCGGAAATGTTATCTTAGGAAGTATAGACAGATAGAGTTTCTGAAATATATAAAAACAATATACATTAGGGCGGATCAATTTGTATGGGAGCTTTTTCGACTATGCGCTTATTGTACAGAGGGATTGCCGAAACAACGGTGGGTCGAAAATCAATTTACAGTTAGCCAAATTGCGAAAATAGGTTCCTTAGCATTTTGCTGTAGTGTTGTATTGACGTAAAATATAAGTAAATGAGTATAAGTGAAGGAATGGTATTTTCAGGGATAGTAGTTGGTAGTTCTAGCTTTAACTTAAGCCTAAGTGGAAGTTCTATCACATTTTGTTTGCTTGCTTGTGCTTCTCAAATATTGCAAAAAAGCGTTATTTTAACA